TGAAACCGCGTTGATGAAAGGATTTCTTGATTGTGGTTTAAAATGTGCACAATGAACAATCACATGTTCTGAAGTATTCACAAAAACCACACGGTTTTAAATAAATTATTGTTGCCAGTAGCAGCCCAATACAGTACATAATTTATTATCATATTATCACCTTTTCACTGCTAAAAACTTGCTACTGCATTATTACATCGTTAAGTTTTGCCACGTGGTCACTCCTGTTCGTGATTAATCACCGAATATTTTAATTATTATTATGTGAATTTTTATCGATTTTAGTACATTTCTTGTGAACGTGCAAATATTTTTCCGTCAAGTACGAGTGTTATTTCCAAAGACAAAAAAATCGCATTTATGAAAGCAGTATTTGAATTCACTAGGGTTATTTATGACTGAAAGAGCATGCTCTGCATCGAAATATGGGCATTCAATTCCAACTACGTGTTTTTAAATATAGCATGCAGACCATGTGGTGTTGTCAGTAGCATCATAATATTTGTAATTTATTTTCTTAATTAATTTATATGTTATTAACAATATCGCTAAAATATAATTGGTGGAAATCTGTCATATACTGGATAGTTGCAATTGATAATTTATTTTTATTTTATTTTTTTTTTTTCCAGAGTTTTTTAATTTTTCGCTTGTTTTGAAAAATCCGGGACATGATTAAAGGATATATTTTGTGAAATGATACCGTTTTGTAGTTTTGTTTGCTGTTTGAATTTGTAATATTCTTTTAATATCGTAAGCATGTAAGAGGAAAACATCTAAAATATTCTTAAATTGCTTTTCTTCTTCAAAGTTCTGAAGTTTCTGTTAATAAATGAGTTATATCATTTTACGATATTTTAATATCCTATAGCTAAACTTTCTTCATATGCCTTAGCGTTGGAGGAACTTTTGGAATAACTGCCACTGTAAGAAATTCTCAATGAGGAATAGAACAGTAATTTCTTTAGTTTTTTAATCTAAAATATATGGTATATACATATAAAATTAAATTCGGATATTAATTAAAGGATATTTATCATCACGTTGAAACATGGGCGATAAATTAATACGGAAAAAATGTTATTCAGGATACGGTTCTGCATATATTTTACTTAATTGCTTGCTTGCAACAAGCGACTCCATTGTGTGGGGTTTCTCTTTATTTTTCGAACATTACATGTTCGATGAAAAGAATATGTAAAATTGGGCTAAAGGTAAAATGAGTTGTAGTATATGCACAAAGAATTTGTAAATTTATGGTATATGCACAAAGAATATATGTGCTCTGATATACGTTAAAATAATGCATGTGACCTAAAATTAATTACTCTTACGAGTGTTTGTTTTCAATGCATAGCCTATTTTTCTCTTCTTGAATCTCGTACGAAATGGTAGCTAATTATTAAATGTTTAATATTTATAAAAATAAGATTTACAAATGTAGTTTAGAGTTAGTATTAGTTCATTTGTCAATGCTTGAACGAAAGCCTAATATTGGATAGACAGTTATTTAGATAAGTGGTAATTTTATTTCGTGGGTCTTATATTACCCACTTTCGTGGGTCTTGTTAATATTCTGTATGCTAAGCACAAAAAAAAAAAAAAAAAAAAAAATTAAAATTTGAAAGATTTAAAATTTTTAATTTATGTCCAGACGGCCGTTTTTTAACATTTTGAGCTTTATTTCTTGAAACTCTTTATTTATAAATATGTTCTTCTTACGTAAAACACATAAAATTGACTTGAACAGAAATATTAAAAAATATTTAAAGACAGCATGTCTTATAGAATACATCTTAGAATTTTCGATAGACAGCCTCGCGCCCTGATGATAAAGTTTTTTTCCCGAACAGTGGAGCTATTGCTCGTTTTGAGATCATTAACTTTGTTAATAAAAATATCGTTAATCTCTACATATAATAAAACAAAGAGTCTGTGTGTGTGCGTGTGTTCGCCTAGGGTGTAAATCGAGGATGGAAATATGTATACACACCTTCTGACCGAGGACATCCTCGGTTGGAAATAATGCCAGAATCGTAATCAGGGACCTCGGATCCATGTAGAAACCAATTATGAGCCAAATCCGAGCTATCTCGTATATATAAGTATTATTCTGTGTAAAACTGTTTGCTTGAGTAGATAGAAAACACGGGTTCTGCCACACGTGGTGTGCGGTGTGGGCGTGGCCAATGACGTCACACAGAGGGCGGGACCAAAGGCAACGTCATCACACTAGGAGGCGTGGTCACGAGTGGAGTTGAGGTGTTCGTAGACTGCTGATTGAGTTGTAGACCTCCTGCTTTTCATTTAAAGTTAGTTTTTTTAATTGGCAACGGGGTCATGGCGTCCTCTAGGGACGAAAAAAGAAAATAATTTATTTAGAAGTTTCTTTTATTAAATGTTCTATGATTCAAAATATAGAATTGAACTCTCAAACAAAATATCTCACCAGCTCAGTAGTTTGAAGATTTTAACCACTAAGCTGACGTGATACATTCAGATTTAGGTAAAAAAGCCTATATAAGAAAATGGAATTTGAATCAGCTCATCAATTGCAATTATGCCTGCCCCAGGAGAAGCCACCGTTGCGGTGTGTTTATACACTGTTTTATGTGTTATTTTATCATCCATCTATATTTTTACAGAATTTCATAAAATTCCTATTGATTTTACGCTACGTCTTAACGACAGTGGGAATTTATCATTATCCATATGAAGAATAATTCAATAGGTTATGAATATGAATTTATCGTATCAGGATCCGGCTCATGTTGCAAGTTTTGGTGGTGTTGAAGCTTTACATCGTGCTGCAGGAGGTAAAGTTTCCAGGAAAGAGATTCAAACATGGTTAGAGGGAATAGATGCGTACACGCTTCACAAGCCAATTCGCCGAAAATTTCCAACGAATAGAGTAATCGTGTATTCTATAGATCAACAATGGCAAGCTGATTTAGTGGATGTTTCACATTTACGTGATCATAATGATGGTTATCGATATATATTAACCTGTATTGACATATTATCCAAATATGCATGGGCTATTCCTCTGAAACAAAAGAGAGGAGAAGATATTGTGAAAGCGTTTCAAAAAATATGAGCCAACGTAAACCAAAATTACTTCAAACGGATCAGGGCACCGAATTTAAAAATAAAGTGTTTATAAAATTTTTAAAAAGAAATCAAGTTAAACTTTTCAAGTACATTCAATACTACTAAAGCATCCGTGGTGGAAAGGTTTAATCGCACTTTGAAAACAAAAATGTGGAAATACTTTACGACTCGAAATACATATAAATATGTAGATGTCTTGGACAAATTAATAGAAAGTTATAATGCTACTTTTCATTCAAGTATAAAGCGAGCTCCCATAGAAGTCAATTCAGAAAATGAGAGTGATGTATGGTTTACCTTGTATGAAGATCATCCTTCTAACGTTTCTAAATGTATATTCGCTGTAGGAGATGTGGTACGTGTTTCCAAACTAAAGCTTACTTTCGAAAAAGGCTATGAAACCAATTGGACGAAGAAGAACTATTTGTGGTGACAGAGTGTGTTAAAAGACATCCAGCCGTGTATAGAATTAAAGATTTACTTGGAGACTCAGTAAAAGGAACGTTTTATGCACAAGAGTTGCAGAAAGTGAGACTGAAAGAGGAATATCGCATTGAAAAAATTTTAAAGAAACGTATGCGTAAGAAACAGACAGAATACTTTGTAAAATATCGCGGTTATCCCGACAAATTCAATCAATGGATTCCAGCTTCTAATTTACTCTCGATATAAAGTGTGAGAAAATACTGTATCCGAATCATTTATGAAAATGAGTTTCTACGTAACACTTCCGAGCGATAGCTCTATGAATTATTTCCCCGAAAATAAAATTTCACATTTTATAACACGTTTACCTGTTCCCATTGAATTAAAAGGTATGTGGGAAGTTGGTTTGGTTGAATTGCTATATCCGCACACATGGCACAATGTGAATGCAGACAATAACTTAATTGGATTTGTTTTAGAGAAAGATGGTGAAATGTTAGGTCGTAGATTACCTCCAGGATGTTATGAAACAGTACCTGATATTTTAAAAGCTATTTATATTAAAGAACATCAAAACAAAATAATTATTTAATTATAACCCAGTAACAAAACGAGTGAAAATCAAAGTGAAAAATAACGCTAAAGTGATTTTACATGATGGGTTAGCACAAATGTTAGGTTTTGAACCTATGGAAATTACATCTACAGATGATAGTTCCGAAACTGTTGTAGAAAGTCCTTTTGCAGCCGACCCCTGTGCACATTATCGTGTATTAATGATATATACGGATATTGTAGAACCTCAAATCGTAGGAGATGTTTTAGCTCCTCTTCTTCGAATTGTAAGAGTAACTGGTAGCGATGGAGAAGTGGTGAGTGCACTATTTGATAGACCTCATTATTTACCTGTGAATCGGAAAATGATAGACACTTTGGAAATCGATATAAGAACGCATATGGGAGCATTTACGCCATTTGAACGAGGAAGGTCATACGTGAAACTTCATTTCCGTCAAAAATACTTGTCATAATGTATGTACCTTATCAGTGTTGTCAAAAATCTTTTGAAGATTATTATGTACAACAAACAGGACATGGATTGAATTATTATCAAGGTAATCTTTATCAGAGAGGATACGGATTAGGGGGTCTATTCAGATCCTTCTTTCGCGCTGCCGTACCTCTTATTAAATCAGGAGCCAAAGCAATTGGAAAACAAGTATGGCATAGTGGACTGAATTTGTTAAATGATGTATCACAAGGACAAGATGTAAAAGAGGCTGCTAAGCGTCGACTGAAAGAAGCCGGAAATATATTAACGGATAAAGCTGCTACTAAAGTGAAGAACATGATTGGTTCTGGACGAGTCAATAAAAAGCAGAAACGTAGGAAAAAGCGTACCATTTCTCACCGATCAAAGAAGGTGAAAGCACAGGATATTTTCTCTTAAAAAAAAAAAAAGTATGACTTCGTATATTCATCGAGACTCTCCCGTTTGCGTCAAATCTGAATTAGATTTATTTACCATTCCTCCTACGCAAACAGCTATAGAAAAAGGACAGTTTGTGGAATATCACCCTCTCGCAAATATACGAGATGGAGGACCTATCGAATTTAATATTTCTGGCAGTGGTGAAGACTATATTGATCTAGCTGCTTCTTATATACACGTGAAAGTTAAAGTAGTTAAGGCAGACGGATCCAATCTAACAGACAAAGAACCGGTTGCCCCTGTAAATTTATTTTTACATTCTCTCTTTTCGCAAGTAGATGTAAGTTTAAATGAAAGAAACATTTCATCTGCGACAAATACCTATCCTTATAGAGCCTTCATCGAAACATTATTGAATTATGGGGAAGATGCAAAGAAAAGTTTACTCACCTGCGAAGGATTTTTCCAAGACACTTCACCTAATAAAATAGATGTCTTAGCTCAAGATGCGGATGCTGGACTAAAAGCTCGCGGTGAACTTATAAAAAACAGTCAAAGTGTGGATTTGATAGGACAATTACATTGTGACATTTTTCAACAAAATCGACTCATGTTAAATTTAGTTGATGTGAAAATTAAAATGGTGCGTAGTAAATCTGCTTTCTGTCTAGTTTCTACTGAGAAAGAAGATGCCGATTATAAAGTGATCTTGGATCATGCTTCTTTGTTTATCAGAAAAGTAAAAGTAAACCCTGGAGTCTCTCTCGGACATGTAAAAGCGTTGGAAAAAAGTTCTGCTAAATACCCTATAGATCGAGTATTATGCAAAACATATTCAGTATCTAAGGGAAGTTGGTCTTTTATGCAAGATAATGTATTTTTAGGATTGATGCCCAAGCGAGTCATTATTACTTGTGTAGAAAATGCTGCAATGAATGGACAATATTCAATGAATCCCTTTCTGTTTGCCCATCATCATGTCAACTTTATATCGATTTATGTAGATGGACAACCCGTTCCATGTAAACCAATGGACCTTGATTTCGAATCTAATCATTATGTGCGTGCTTACCACAGTTTATTTTCTGGATTTAATCGCGACAAAGGCATCTATTTATCTCGAGAAGAATTTGTGAAAGGACATGTGTTATATGCTTTCGATTTAACTCCAGATATGTGTGATGGATCTCATTTTAACTTACAGCATCAAGGTAATTTGCGAGTAGAAATTAAATTTGCTAAAGCTCTCTCTGTGACTCTCTCGGTGCTAGTCTATGCAGAATTTCAAAACGTGATTGAAATAACAAAATCTCGTCATGTACTATGCGATTTTGCTAATTAAGCAATGGACAGCCTTGAAATAAACAGAGCACTCTCTCAGAATGCAAAGACACGAAAAGCATTTCTGGGAGTTTTTGCAAGTGATCGACTCCCTATCGAGATCAAGAAATATCCAAGTTGCTAATGTAGATCGTGCATCTGAATCCGGTAGTCACTGGTTAGCCTTTTACATTTCATCCCCACAGCATTTGGAATTTTTCGATTCCTATGGACATGACCCATCCTATTTTCCTGGACCGATAGCCAAGTATGCAGAACGATTTCCACAGATGGACTTTAATTCGATGACTCTCCAAACTAATGTAACGGCAGTATGTGGTCAATATTGCATATACTATTTACATTGTAAATGTCGTGGACAATCTCTCAATGATATTTAGTTATCTTTCATACCTCAACATATATCTAATGATATTAAAGTATATAATTTTGTAATCAAGAAATTTCATGTAAGATCTTCTTTCTATCAATAAATACATTTAAACTTTATACATTATGTGTCTTGTCTCATTTAATATGGAATTTCCAAAGCTACAACATCCTTTCACAATGGTGATTTCGGGACCCACTGGATGTGGGAAAACCTATTTTGTACGAGAACTGTTAAAGTATAAAGAGGAAATGTTTTCAACGATTCCCGATAAAGTAGTATGGTGTTATGGAATTTACCAACCTCTGTATAATGATATACCGAATGTTACTTTTGTCGAAGGTTTACCAATTAAATATCAAGAATATTTAGGTTCCAACACATTATTCATCATAGACGATTTGATGAGCGAATGTGGGAATGATAAACGTCTGACTAACTTATTTACAAAAGGAAGTCATCATTTAAATTTAAGCGTTATTTTTATCACACAAAACTTTTTTCACAAGGGAAAAGAAATGCGTGAAGTGACTTTAAATGCACACTATTTGATTTTGTGTAAAAACAGAAGAGATGTCAGTCAAATCGTACATTTAGGAAAACAGCTCTTTCCGCGTCATTTAAAGTTTTTTCAAGAAGTATATGAAGATGCAACCAAGAAACCTTTTTCTTATTTATTCATTGATCTGCGCAGTGTGAAACTCCGGAAGAATTACGTTTACGCACCCAAATTTTACCTAACCAAGTACAGTATGTTTATCAAATGAAACATTATTAAAAAATAATAAAAACAACAGCTTTATAAAATGCATCATCATTTTATAAAATGACGCTGGTCAAGAAACAGCTAAGACAGTTACAGCTGTTAAACATTTGTCCGTTAAAGTTACGGAAACAGCTATTAAAGAAAATTAATATCAATTGCATAAAAGCTATATGCGAATGTAGTTTAAACATACTCAAAGGAAACGTTCCATTGTCAGAGCAACAAAAGAAGTCTCTCTGTAAGCATAAAACAACTTTACGAAAATTAGGAAATCGTAAGATTTCTCTTGTGAAGAAACGAAAATTAATTTTACAAAAAGGAGGTTTTCTAAACGTTTTGATTCCTGCTGCTCTCAGTGTTCTTACAGGACTAATCAATGGAGTTCACTAAGAAATATGTGTTAGTTCCAGAAGAGATGATGACAAAGCATACCATTTCTGATAAACAGTTAAGTGAATTGGATAAAGCCATGATGCATATTTTAAACAGTTCAGTTGACGATCGTGAGAAATTAGTGCGTTATTATGAACTTTTACAAAAGAAATTGAACTTAAAGGAATACAATTCACCCTTTAAACCTCCTAAAGACGACTCACAAAATTCTTTAGACGATTCAGCTGAGATCAAGAAAGTGAAAGAGGAAGAAGAAGCCCCATCTGTGACAGACGGCGACAAACAGATGACTGTAACTGATTATTCTACTGTTATCTTAGACAGTGTACCTTTACGAATGAGAAGAAAAGCACAAAATGCATTAGCTATTTTAAAGCGACATCCTGATATTCTTAAGTGGAATGATAAAGGCGAGGTACTTTATCATAAGGAAAAAATTAAGCATTCAAATATTATAGACTTATTCAATATCCTTTTTACAACCAAAAAGAAAAAGATTAATATTCCTGCTAAAAACGAATTTTTAAAAGCCTTGACTGAAATCAACATGCCAATGGACTATATCAAAAATGAAAATTTACAGAATCATGATGTTAATATGAAAAAAAAAAAATATTGCATGTTAAATCTGTAAAACATATACGTTCTCCACGAAAATGGGAACCTTATTAAATGAATAAAATTATTATTTTTACATATAGACTCTTTCTTCTCTCTACAATCAATATTTGTTTTACATCGTTTTTAAATGTTATGAAAAACATTCATTTCACCAAGAAGCTTTTACCTTTCAATACATTTATTTTCAAAGAATAAATTTCTGTATTATACATAAAATATACTTGGAATTTTCTTTCATTAGTTAATATCAAATTAACAGCAATATCCATTTACTGACATTTGATATACACGTTTGCTTTAAAATTAAAACTAAAATTTCAATATATTTCTATTAAAAACATAAGGAAAAAAAAATAGTCATAACATCAACCAAACACAGAAATTTAAATAGAATAGCTGTACTTATATTAATGCATTTTTATAATCTTCATAACATTTCGATTCAAAAAACCTATCACAAAATAAATGAACAATTTTTTCTGCCTTAAAGAATCTCTTATATTTTTAAAATTAATACATAAAAATATATCTTCACCAATATAATTCATCAACACTTATCGTAATACATTCTTGTCTTGTCTTGTTTGGGAAGGACAGTCTGTCCGGCGTCATATGTATATTACGTTATCAGGGTAAGATAGGTTAATGGAAAACTCTGATAATCACTGAAAACTTATTTGAAAGAGTTGTTATTCTTAAGTTTGACATTACATATATGCATAAGGGGAATCTTAAAAGCATCATCCACTTATCATGATAGAGTAATGGAAAATTTCTAAAACTCTGATAATCATATGCGAAAGAATGTATTATCTTAAGGTTGTTGTTGCTATTCCAAGTTTGACAATACATACAGAAGTGAAGGAAGATCCTTGATAAGCGTTGTAGACTTCACGTTATCATGATAAGGGTTAATGGAAGTTGAAGTTGTATTCGAAAGAAAGGGTTATCCTGGTTCAGATTACACAAATCTGGAATGTTGGAGAACATTCTTTAATCCCTATAAAACGCTGCGTCAGAAATGGAAGAAGTCAGTTCGCTCGACAATCTCGGAAAGAGCAAGTCTTCCTGATTAATATTTTCTAAATTGAAAATGTCAACTTTTGAAAATGATGTTGCTGGAGATCTGATAATCAGTATGGTTCCGGAACATGTAAGTTTTTATAAAATATTTTATTTTGCAAAAATTATTTTAGGGTGGATCATTCTTCAGGACCTCTTATGTGAGGGAAAAGTTTTAAAATGGATTATTACAGATTAAGTTTTTCAGTTTGTTAGGTATGTTTTACATGATTTACGGTGTGAATTTTTAGTATCAGTGTATGTTTTGAAGTTTTAGTACCTCATTCGAAAGTTTAAACTTATAACGTGAACTTAGTTAACGCTGATAAATGTTTCTTGAAGAGGTATTGATATTTAATTACATATGTATAGTTGTGATTTTTGATATTACATTTTCAGTTTTATGTATTGCATATAATTTGCAAAGTTGTTGTGTTTTAAGAAAGGTAGCGGTACGGTATCAGAAAATGTAGTATGTTAACAATAATCCTTCTCCGTTACACGCTTAAGACATGAATGAATCTTAAATTCCGAAATAACTATGTTTCTCAGTACTTGAAATGCAACGTAAATCCATGTATACATTAAATGTTAGAAAAGAAAAAATATCGGTAGTTAGTTAAATATTTTAGATACACACTTTCTATTGAAAATATATTCTTGTTTTGGGGTAGAAGAATTCTATTTGTTATCTTTTAAGTAACGATACAATTGGCAATCTTGCTTTGTGACTTTAACCAGCTTTGCACACGTGACCCTTTTGTGAAGAGTTTCTACCTGATCATTATCAGCGATCGTTTCCGTATTTGTAAAGATTCTCACTTAACTGCTCGCTTTCAGGGTATTATTCACTTCATGTTTTTCCGTATCTTTGAGTTAAATGCGAAAGGATTTAAATCTTGAGGAGGAAACTATGTTTAGTTATATCTGTTATGTTTAAGCGCGTTATGTGAAATAGTTGGGGTAGATGAGAAATTTTTATTACACTTTGCGTGACGCATATTTATATAATATGTAACATACACCTTGAAAAGATGTATACTTATAGGGTTCCCCTTTAATTTTCCTAGGTCTGTACCATCTGTTCTAAATTCTTTACCCGCAAGGAGAGTTTAACCAGACATATGAAAACTCATACCGGAGAAAAAAGTTTTACTTGCGATGTTTGTCAGAAAGCATTTGCAAGAAATTCTGACTTGAAACGTCATGCTTTGACCCATATCAAGCCTTCTAAAGAACACTCTTGTAATATTTGCGACCAAGTGTTCACTCAAAAGAGTGAATTGCTACAACATGTGCGCACGGCTCACTGCACTAAAAGGAAGGTCGATGCGCTCTCTATCGTCCCGTGAAAAAAATGAGGAAAGAAGGTGCTTTAAACGTATTTAGTGTACATACGTTTACACCCTCTGAGGAAAATGCGTCCGACTTTTTGTTATGTTTTGAAGAGATGCGCCCCCAAATTACATCAAAATTACAAGAAGAATTAGCCGACAAATCCACTATTAAATGGTATGTCGTGGCAAAAGTTCATTTAACACGCACAACACGGGATGGGGAATTAGATGCTATTGCCCCCCATTTCCGATCTAAATGTGCTATTGAATTAATGGAGGAGGAACTGTGGAAGGTCATGTGGAAGAGGGATTTCAAAAAAATCCTAAAGTCCTTCGAAGCATTTACTCAGCGGGGATCGGGATGGATTCTCGATAAAATAAATCAATTAGATTTATGTGTGGCAAAATATCATCCGCTCGCCCCGAGTAGTTACATCCCCCTTCCCAAAAAG